CGAAAAGTTTGACTCATTTCTCCTCCCCCTTCCATCTTGGATTCTTGACTCCACCACTGGTTGCAAGCTTGCATCATTTCTAAACTTGATCGCAATAGCAACATGCCAACATCTCTTTTCAAAATAAGAAGCTAGGCATTAGTTATTTAGTGTTTTGGGTTCAAACGAAGACGAAAGCTGGTTGTGTGCACCATGGAACCATATATCCGAAATTAGGCATGGATCATTCACGTCTTACCATGTACGTATTGTCACGAGATGAGCCCACTCTTGCTAATTCACAAAAATATATGTGAAATTTACTCTTAATTTTATGAATAAGTCCAGACACTCACAGAAAAAAAAAAGTCCAGCCATACTGCCGCTCCTCGTGCTCTATTATCCACGCCATATGGATTGCCTGATCTGACATCACCAGTGGCATGGCGAAGTTGACCCCACAAGTTTTTCGTCATCCTTTGTGTCTCGGCTATTCCAAAGTCTGCCACCACCGGCTTGGAGTCCTGGCGCCGCTGCTGGACTTCACAACCTCTGGCCAGGCTCGGGCCTCACTTTTCCACCTGAATCCTAATCTGAAAAATGAAATGAGTGTTTTTGACAAAAAGAAGAGAACAAAATACTTTATTGTTTTATCTTCAAAATAAATATATTTAATACTAAATACTTTATTGTTTTGACCAAGTTTTTAAAATAAACTATCAATATTTAAAATACTAGTAGATGACTAAAAAATACAGACGTGTACTTCATGCTGAATCCTTTGTGTTGTGAATGTTGATATTCTTTTTCTTTAAACGTGGACAAAAATGTAAACGTATACTTCATGCTGAATCTTTTGTGTTGTGAATGTTGATATTCTTTTTCTTTAAACGTGGTCAAAGATAGAATCATTTGATTCTTAGAAAAATGAAATATGCACTGAATTTCGGTGCGGAAGAAGTGGTTTTATTAGGTGGCTGAGCCAAGCATGGGCTTGGCGTTTTGAGATCAACATTTTGCAAAGTGCGGCCCGAAACCCGGTCCGCGCTGGATCCGGCTTGCCTGCTCCCTCTTCATGCTCCCATCCGTGCTCCCACTTCATCATACGTCTGTCCTTTTCTCTTTTTTCTTTGTAATCTAATCATCTCCCCCCTGATTTTAAGGGGTGGGGCCGGGCCTTATTTTGTTCCAATCAAATCATGTCACGTATGGAAGAACACGGATGAGTGCACGCGGGAGAAGCAGGCAAGTCTCGTCCGTCCGCGCTATGGCCAGCTGGTTTGCTCGTGCCGTCACCCGTCACCCGCCACCCGCAAGAGAGAGCAAGAGAGAGACAGCCAAGGGAGACCGCGCGTCCGGTACGAGGAGCTGCTAGCTAGGGCCAGGTGACACGCAGCGAACGGATCAAAGTTGACGGTTTGTCTTGTCTGACTACTACTACTACTCCACTCCAGTACGCAGGCAGGTCGCGCCTTGCCGGCACGAATGTGTTGATTCTCTTCTCCAAAGGCGCAGATCAAAGTTGAACTTACGCAGCACTAGCCCGTTCAAAGAGTTACGGCACTGACCAACTCTTTCGTTCGTCATCTTGCATGCATGCATGCCATCCTTGAACCAGTCACCATCGCCATGCCTATATATGGACGCACGTACACAGCTCACCGCAAACCACCACAACGATCGAGCAAGCAAGCCATCGATCCCACCGCCTCCACAGGAGGGTACGCACCACTCTCACAAGCACAAGCACACACGAACCTCCTACCACCATGGTGACCTTCACGGCGCGCCGGGGCGAGCCGGAGCTGGTGCGCCCGGCAAGGCCGACGCCGACCGAGACCAAGGCGCTCTCCGACCTCGACGACCAGTGGACGCTGCGGTTCTACGAGTCCATCGTCGGCTTCTTCCGTGCCCCGCCGGGCGAGGCGCCCAGGCCGGGCAAGGTGGCCAGGGGCATCAAGGTGGCCGTGGCGGCGGCGCTGGTGTACTACTACCCTATGGCCGGCCGCCTGCGGAAGCTCCCCGGCGGGAATAGGCTGGCGGTGGACTGCACCGGGGAAGGAGTGGCCTTCGTGGAGGCCTCCGCGGACGTGCGGCTCGAGGACCTCGGCCAGCCGCTGGTGCCGCCGTACCCGTGCGTCGAGGAGTTCCTCGGAGACTGCGGTGACACCAGGGATGTACTTGGCAAGCCTTTGCTCTTCCTGCAGGTAATATCATGTTTCTTGATTAGTTGTAGTATTTCATTATGTGGCTTATGGTTGGTGGTGGGATGTTGATTTTCTACATACTATGTATGATGGTTTGAACACTTTATCAATATCAAAATTCTTCTAATTTTTCCGGGATAAATATCAATATTCTAGCAAAATAAAAAAATAAAAGGAGAAAAGAGGGTTGCATCACATAATGAAATTGTTAGCGTCTAACTTTCATGGAAAAAAAGAGCTGTTATATTAGTAAAGTTTTGTCCATCAAATGTTAGCAAATTCCATTCATCGGTTTTATGTTTTCATAGTAAAATGAATTAAAATCGAAAATTATTTAATGTACTTCAAATATTCATTCTAGTTATATTATTACTTATCACTAGTCTAAATTAAGTTTGTGTTGACGCTTGAATACGATGTCGCCAGATACAACTGAGAGAAGTGTATTAATATGATTATCAAAAAAGTGTATTAATATAGAAAGGGAAGGTGAGTGACCCATACCCATGTGCACGTGATCATATTAGTTATTTTCATTGCTCGTTTGAATTCCATATATTACAACCTCACCGTATATACATAATGTGTTATGCAGGTGACACAACTAAAATGTGGAGGATTTGTTATTGGGCTTCACATGTGTCATTGCATTGCTGATGGTTTTGGTATTCTTCAATTTATCAAAACTATAGCCGATTTTGGATGTGGTGAACTTATCCCAACCACTTTGCCCGTGTGGAAAAGAGATATCTTCACAGCACGCATGCCACCATCCATTGCACATGTTTACCCGGCATATAAACCATTTCTTCATGGGTTAGAGTGCACGGGAGATGACGTGATGCTATCAACTCCGCCAGAATGCATGGAAGTGCAATATTTATTCTTTGGGCCAAATGAGATAGATATTTTGAGAAGCCATGTCCCAGAACACCTCTCTAAATCTACTACAACATTTGAGTTGATTACGGCTGTCATGTGGCGGTGCCGCACATTGGCACTGGGCTATGAATCTACTCAAAAAGTTCGTGTCATGTTTACACTAAATACACGTGGGAGAAGCATTAATGGTGAAAGCGCTGTCCCACGTGGTTACTATGGAAATGCACATTTCTCTCCTATGGTCGAGGTCACCGTCGACGAGTTGGCTACAAAGCCGCTCGGACATATACTTGAGCTCATGCGCAAAGTCAAGTTGGACACCACAAAGGATCGCATGAAGTCAATGGTGGATTTGATGGCATTATGGCGAGAGCGGTCACCTTTCGGTATGGATAGAACATATGAGGTCAGTGACACAAAGTGGGTTGGAGGCAATGCACTGCAATTTGGGAAAGCTGAGCTGGTTGCTGCTGGCACACCGCATGCTGGAGATTTCACTTCAAAGCTGATAAGCTATCATACCAAGTGTAAGAATAAAGATGGTGAAGACTCAACCGTGGTATCAATCCTACTGCCAAAACCAGCAATGGATAAGTTCACAAAGGAGATGGCATTTTGGCTGAAGAAGTAAAATGGAAATAACATAACAAGTCCACTTTGTTGTATGTATATGTTATTTCCTTCATTTAGTATTACGGTCTAAACACCAACCATAGTTGATTATGTGCTACCATGAAAGTCATGGTGTACTTGTTTCAATGCTTGTATCCTCACTTATGTTTTCCCCAATTTATTAAGCAAATATAAAGAATAATTCCTCCCTTTGAAATGCATATTGAGGATTCACATGCCCTCCTTTTTGTGAGTCAAGTAACCGCATTCATGTGATGGGAACTTGTAAAGACTATTACTTTTTTGAATGTGGAAAACTGATGATCCATATGTACTACACCTACACCAACGAATTGCGAGTTCGAACTTGCTTGTATTATGCGTTTCCACAAAAAGGGGAGTCAAGGTGCTGGTCACTCCTTTCCTTTCTATGTGCTTCATGAGAGGCTCATCTGTTTTTGGTCCAACAAACTACCGATCAAGCATCAATATGGACTTACAAAATTAAATGTCTAAGTAGCTTTGCCTCAGTCAACAATACCAAATGAATGAATGTTGAGTGTATTTGTACTGATCAAACATCAATATATATAGACTTATAAAACGAAATTGTGATCGATTTTCTTCGTGGTCTTTCAGAGTAAGTTTGCCTTGGTCAACATTGCCAAACGGACTATGATCCTCCTCCTCACACACCTCCCTTTTTAGAGCATCTCCAATAGACGCGCCAAATAAAGCACGCGCCGAAAAAGATGCCAATATAGCGCGCGCGATCAAAAACAGCACTCCAGCAGAAGCTATAAAATAGAGCACGCACAAAAATGAAGCTGCAAATTTAGCGCATGCGGGTTGCGGGGCTGCAAATTTGGGGCGCCGGCTTGTGCGCGCGGGCTGCTGCATGTGGGGCCACCGGATTGGGCGCCGTGTTTTTGTGCGTCTGGTAAACCTCCCGCACGCAAAAAACCTATTTCAGCGCTGCAAAACTTTTTTAGCGTGCGTGTATTGGAGATGCTCTTAAGTACTGTGATGGGCCGATGGTAGGCGACCAAGAATTTGAGACAACCAAGCATTTGCAAAAACACAAAAGCCATGTTCCAAAATGCAGGAGCTACATGTTCCACAGGTGAAGAGAGTACTCCCACAAAAAATGACATAAAGGAGACCACGAAATTGAAAAGAACACCAGATGTAGCACAAACCCACAGCAGGCAGGCTTCAACAACACATCGCGCGAACCAATTTGAACATGACTCGCTCGATCGAGACACCAAGATCAGTTTCCGGGTTTATTTTATGTTGCGCACGTAGGACGTTGGTCGATCAGTTCTGCAGCAGCAGGAGCTTGTCGTCGTTGTCCTTGGGCTTGGCGAGCGTCTGCCTGGAGCGCACGCGCGCCTGCAGCCGCGCCATGGCCTGCATGCAGTGCACCGCCACCTCCGCCTGCCGCCGCACGTACGCGCCCCGCGCCACCGCCTGCAGCCTCACCAGGCTCCTCAGCGCCTTGAACGCCCGCCGCGCCTGCAAAACCAAAACGCAGTTTAGATTTAGACGTGCAAATCAATCAAGCGTGGAAGTAACGATCTGGCATGGCGGCCAGCATGGTGAGCACGCGCGCACCAGGTGGGCGCGGAAGTAGGCCTGGATGGTCACCGCGGCGACGTCCTCCCGAGAGAAGCCCTCCCGGCACAGCAGCGCGTACTCCTCGTTAGAGCAGACCGACTCGTCCTCCTTCGCCGGCGCCGGCTCCACGGCCTGCGCGAGCGGCGCCGCCCTGTGGATCGCCTTGGCGACGTCGCCGTTGGCGCGCGGGTTGGTGCTGCTCTCGCGGACGGCGCCGGAGTCCGCGCGGCGCGTCTGCGCCACCGCCTTGCTGGCGGAGCTGAGCCAGCTGCGCCGCGCGGTGCCTGACTTGGACTTTGCGTTGCCGGCCTGCGCGGGCGCGGCGGTGGTCACGCAGCACACGCGCTGTGTCCGCCCGATCGGCGTCGAAGGGGTCCGCGGCGTCCGCGCGGGAGGAGGAGCCAGCGCCGCTCCAGCCGACGCAGCAGCTACCACGGGAGTCCTCGCAGGAGGAGGAGGAGGAGCAACCAGCGGCGCTCCAGTCGACGCAGCAGCTGCCACGGGAGTCCTCGCAGGAGGAGGAGCAACTTGCGGCACTGCAGCCGACGCAGCAGCTGACACGGGAGTCTTCACCGGAGGAACAGCCAGCGCCGCTCCAGCCGATGCCACGGGAGTCCTCGCGGGAGCAGCCGGCGCCACCTCTCGCGCTGGAGCAGCGGGTGCCGCGGGCGCCGGCGCTGGAGCCGCAGGGAATCGGCGGACCTGCTGCGCCCGGCGAGGGGTGCGGGAGCGGACGCCGCAGAGGCGCCTGGCGGAGGGCGTCTTGGGGGTGCGCGGCGTGCGGACGGCGTCCCCGGTGCCGCAGCAGCTGGTGAGCGGCGTGCGCACGCTGCTGTTATCCGTGTCGACGGGGGCGAGAGCGCTGCCCCCGGAAGCTCGGTGGTGGGGGCCGATGCAGCATATGCACGCCGCGCTGCTGCGGCGGCGGGCGTCGCCGGAGGGCTTCGACGGCATGATGCAGCACATCGCCCGCGTCCTCGGCATCGCAAAGTCGTCGCTGGCGTACCTGGTCGAATGTGGTGCGAGTGCTACGACTTGTGGGAATGGCCGGCAAGGCGGTATAAATGGGCCGGGAGCCGGCCGGAGAGGAGGGAGACGACCGAGGCGATGTGCGCGCCTCTACGGACGTGGGTGTCTGTCGGCGTCGGCGTGGCGGCTTTGTTTAGGGTTAGCGCGTGAGATCGGGGACAGCTTTGTGAGGCGACGACGAGAACGTGGCGGGATGGATGGATGAGCCATGGAAATGTGAACCCAGTTTTTGAAAAGAAAAGAAAGAAAGCAATGTGGTCAACAGAGGCGAAAAAACCCGGTTGTGGCCCGGAGCAAGTCCAGGACTGTTACTGGGCCAGCAAAATATCGCGAGGGCTATGGGCCTGTTTGGTTGCTACAAAATACTATGTGCATGAGAAAATTCGGTAAAAAAATGGGAAAACGTTTATAATCATCCGACTTATCTCTCTCTCTATGCGCCACGTGTGTGCGTCAGGCTGCGGCTGCCCACCGCTTCGCCCCAACCTTATCTTATCTCTAACGCAGCTCCTCCACTCGTTTCTTCTTCTTTCTTCCTTTTACGTCCCATCGCCAAGAGATTAGCCATGGCGAGCAGCCGAGCACCACCACAACAGCTAGGAAAACGGAAGAGTTAGACGCCGGCCGTCGGCACCAACAACCGGAGCTCCTCCGTTGCATCGCTGGAGGTGGCATAGAACACATGGAGGGGAGCCATGGTAAGGACCACCACAACAACGGGGAACCGGGAGGTGATGCCGGTGATACAAATGGCGCTCGTCGATGAACGCCGGTGCTGCAATGCACCAACTCGTCCATGGCCGCCGGTATGCCACACAACAACTTGTCCACGGCCATCATGGTGCGTTACAACCTCGTCCGTGATGCAATGCAACCTCGTGTGCCGTTGCAGTACTCGAGCGCCGGCGGCGGAGCTGCAATGGAGCCGCTCGGCGCAGGCGGCGGAGCTGCAATCGAGCCGCTCGGCGTAGGTGGCGGAGCTTCAATGGAGCGCTCGATGCCGGCGACGGAGCTGCAATGGAGCAGCTCGGCGCAGGTGGCGGAGCTGCAATGAAGCTGCAAGTCGCCGGCTACGGAGCTGCAATGGAGCGCTCGTCGATGCCTCCCCCCTGCTCCGACGCACCACTCCCGCGACTGGTCCCGGTGCTGCAGCGCTGCGCTTGTGAGTGGCTCAGTGCAGCGTCGTTGGCGGCTCTTGGGGGCAGCCCGTTGCAGTGAAGCGCTGCTGCCATGCCTAGAGTCTATGGTGTTGCCACGACCGGCGGCGGTAATGTGTTTGCAAGGTGAGGAACGAGCTGGGCAGAGCCTGATGCTGCGAGCGAGCGCGGCATGGCGGCTGCGACTGCGAGCTAGATCAGGGCCGCTCGCTGGAGCTCACCGCGTCTATCTCAGGAATCGCGTGTGCGTGGGGATTTTTTTGAATTGGCTGCGACGCGAGGAAGACGAGGCCACGCGCGGCGTTCTATTGTGTGAGAGCGACGCAGTCTAGGTTGACTAATCCAACGTATCGAGGGATTTGATCGGACGGTTGGGGACCCGACTGATTTCCCGAGGAAATAAGTCGGATGATTCCTAGCAGCCGCAAAAAAAATGTGCATGAGAAAAGGTGCCGCCTGGTCTAAGCCTGAGCTGGGTTTCATTTCGGTGAAATGGAGCAGGGGCAGACCCCCTTTTCCTCTAAAAACTAAGCATGAGTTGGTGATAATTTTTGCCTGACCGGGCAAGTTATTTTTTTATTCATTTTAAATACATGTGGGCATTTCAAATAGACGTCGAAATTTTCTGTATACAGCTTGAACATTTTTTCAGGTACACGTTGAAAAATAAATACACATTGAACATTTTTCTAAATACATGTTGAACATTTATCAAATGCACATTGAACATTATTAACTTTTAAAACATTTATATTACATTGTATATGTTTTATTTGAAATTACACAAACATTTATCTGACTTGTCTGAACTAATGTTTAAAAGTGTCACCAACATTTTCTTGATTGGTACGAAACATTTATTTAAACTATGCAAAACTATTTTAACATTGTATAATTTTTTTCTAAAATGTGACAATTATTTTTAGAAATTTGTGAACATTTTTTTAATGGAACGAATCCCTTCTCGAAACAGCACAAACAATTTTTCTGCACAACATGAATATTCTTTAATTGCGTAATGAAGGCTTTTAACTATTTAATTCGGGTATTTTCCATTTCAGAAATATAAATAGAAGTAACAGATATAAAAAGGAAAAACACAAAGGAAACTAATCCATCACTTCTAGGTCGGGCCACTAAACATTGTGCTTCAGCCAAGGCGATAGTCACACGGTCCGCTTAAAAACCACGGCATGTTTGAGTAAAAGGATTGGATAAGTGACAACGACCCAAGTTATTACGGTGTATCATGCATACAACAACACCAAACTATTAAACAATTTTAAGGTGTGGCGGAAGCCTACCCTTGCCAGATTATTGCCTCCACCACTGCTCACGTCTGCTATTTTTTTACTATTATTTTATTCCTGTTTTTAGATTTAATGGGCTATTCAACCAGTCTTCTTATGTTTTTACTTTGATTTACTTTCTATTTTCAAATTAGTTGTTTTCGAATCATCTTTTAAATCAAAAATATATTAAGATTCGCTAACATCATATAGAAATAGTAAAAAACATGAATATTGTTTTAATTCGTGAACAGTTTTTATTCATGAAAAAATTTTATTTCATGATTTTTTTAATCAAATTCGAAACACCTTTTGAATTTGCAAATATTTTATTCAAATTTAGAAACATTTTCCAAAATTCTCCAACATTTTTACTAAATCGCAAATATATTTTGAAACTCACAAACATTTTTCAAAGTCATGAGCATTCTTTTTAATTTATAAGTGTTTTTTTAATTAATTAGGAAAACAATTAACATGACTAGGCGGATCGCAGCGGCCGCGTCCGCCACCATCGCTACATGAGACGTGTCCAATTGAGGGCCCGCATACCATCCATCATTGAATGCGCTTCTACAATAAAGGCTATATTTTGGAAACATATGCGGTGTTGCAATGGTCTACGACGGATCTATGTTTTGGAACAAACCTCTGTTGCAGAAATTTTCTGCAATAAGACCTCAGTTGCAAAATATGGCAGCAAAACCTCAGTTGTAATTTTTTTTTGGCAACAAAATAGATGTTGCCAGAAATTCTGTAATAACACATGTGTTGTAATGGTGGGGATGGGCTTGACCGCTCATTGTGGCAGATCATAAAGCTCACGACCTGACTGATCTTTTTAAAAGACCAGCCGGCGGGCGCGTAGCACGCCCTAATTTACTAGCATTTAAAATCTATAACCTTTTTTAGTTCCTAAATAATACTTACAGGATATTTTTTATTTCTGGACATTTTTTAAAAAATAGAAAGTATTTAAATAGAAACATGACCCAAAAAAGCGGCTGAATAAATAAATAAATAACGCATGGGCCGCACGGCTCCAGATGCGCGTTTGGGTGACTCCCAGCGTCCTACGCGAGAGGTAGGCAGTTGATAATCGCCCAAGCTGGCCCATAAGCGGGAGAGTTCTTTGTTTTTCTATTTTCACATCATCTAATTTGTATTTCTCAACAAAAAAACTTCATCCGATTTATTTACAGTTTTAGCGTCCGTATTTCCTTATTATTTAATTCTTTTTAGTTTTCTTCTCTTCATATTAACTTTTTTAAAATCACTACCATTTCATCAAATTCTTGAACATTTTCTAAATTCACGAACATTTGACGAATTTGTAAAAAGATTAGGTCACAAAAATGAAGTTTTAGGACATATTTTAAGTTTTCTAAGTGTTTTTCAAATTTGAGATTTTTTTTCGAATTTGCGATAATTTTCTCAACTCTTGAAAAAACATTCAAATATGGGAACATTCTAAAATTGTTGAAAATTTTAGATTTTATATTTTTTTAAATGCAAACATTATCTGGAATTTTTTTTCAATAAGATTTTTATGATTCATGATCATTTTTTGAATTCTCAAACCATTTTTGAATCATACATAGTGGAAAAGGGAAGAAATACAGAAGTCGCAGTAGAGCTGGCAATGAGTGGTGCGCTAATGAGCTCACCCACCTCACAGGCTAACGATCAAGCTGTGGTGATCGCTCGATATGTCGTCGCTATAAGCGATACATAGAGCCCTCACATCTGGGCATTTGGACAATAGGTGAAAAAAAGTAGCCCACCTTGTGCATTCATGGAATAAAAAACATTAAAGAAACTCGACCACCTTGTCCTCTATCAGTTTGGACTTTGGGTGAACTGATCGATGCCCATTAAGTATGATTTACGGCATTCATCGGTCCCACATCTAAATCTCATAGAGGTTTGGTGTTTGAGATGAAAGGGGGTACTCACAAATATTGAGCATAATCATATGCACATATTTCCACCTGTTTGAGATTTCGCTTAAATTGGCTGGTGCATACAATTTGGTACTAGGGCCTCTCTCAGTTCAAGATCCAGCTAGCGCAACTTTAATAAAAATATAATCTACAAACCATCATACGCCCACAATAATGCCCGATATCAAGGATTTTGCTCTATGACCTAAGAAATCTCAACGGAGGGATTTCAAAATTCTCTAGTCTCAATTTGAATCAATCATTAGACGGCATTAGTGTGATCTTATGTCTACGTATCTACGTAAGACATATATAAATATATGCTACAAGCCTATAAGACGGCGACAAGTTGAGGTGGCATGTGCTTAATTAGTGAATGGCTTGCCAAGTTGGCATGACGCTCGTATCTTACAAGCATGTACGTACAGCTGATTATATGGCTTTGGGGGGCTTTTCATGTTTGCCTCAATCAAGAGCCACATTCTCCAGTGATCATTAGTAGGTCGAAAGATATTCTCGGATGCACGAAAGGCTTCACGCCCGGCTTTTCGAAGATGAATGCCACAACAAACGGCCAGCACTTGGAAGATATTCTAACCAGAAAAACCTCCAAACGGTGGCCGGAGACGATCAAGTGCTGTCTTACATGGCGTACAAGTCCGTATACAGATATTTCCATATATTTCACAAGTGGGATGGCCGTCACCAACACAAAAGGCCCTAGCAATTCCTTTCGTATATATTGCACACAAAGTGGTTCGTCAACATTAACAAATGCAGGCCAGATTGCGGAGGAGATCGAAAATGGAAGTGGGTTCGCTACAAATTCGCTGGCCTGCAAGTGTGCAGAAACGGGTAAGTTGGATTCGGCAGCAAAATAGTGGTTAGCTAGGCGGAATCGGTTCTGCGAATTCAACAGTTTTTTCTATGCACCAATTGCCTGCCTTCCCGGCAGAATTTGCTTTCGGTTTAAAATACGCCATGGGAAAAGAAGAATCAAATGCCCGCGTCTTTTCCGCCTCGGCTTTTTGGCAGTTAGGGTTCTCCACTGACAGGCGTATATCTGCTTCGTATGCCATGCATGCTGAGGAGGACAGAGATCGTCACTTCCGAATTCTTTCCCATGGCTGAAGTGGCTTCCGAATTCATCAAAGGACCGAGAGAGCAGGGGTAAAACTT